CACTCAATGCTCCCTAGATTTTCTCCAGGTCCTACATTAGAATCCTGATTATACCAATGTGGAGTTTGTCGTCCGTTGGAGACTATTATGTATTGTGGCTTTACAACGCCCGATAGTTTGCGGAACAGCTGGGAAGTTCCTTATTTTTCACCGATAAGATATCGGCCCCTTGAAATTTGTTTTCGAGATGATCAAACAGAGTTCATAATAGTCCTATATTATATTCATTGAGAGGGTAGAAGGATTTAACCCAATCGAAATATCCGGATCCGTCTTCTGTGAAATCGGGATACACGCTGAAGTTGGCCTGATTTTCATATATTCTGAGAGAGAAAAACTCGGTTCTGACATAAATTTAACTCCAACAACGGTGTTTAATCTGAAAGGACGATCGTATTGAATTGGGATGAAAGAAATCGAGCCGGGCGCTATGTGGTGACAATGAAGGGTCAGACCCGAGCGGTCGAGGCGAACACTCAAGTTCAAATTCTCGCCACTAATCCTTAACTGGGCTAAAGCGGCTGAACGAGCCCGCGAGACGCCAATCCTAAATATATGTATGTATGCACGGATTTCTGGTTGTTAGTTATGTGGAGATGGTTGAGGTGTACAGCAGCAGCCTTAAGCCTCGAACTGACTTGATCCTATCTCCGTGAGTTCTGGATTGGAGCGCCAAGATGGAGAATTTTTTCCTTGCTGAGGTTGTGTTGCTGTTGCACTTCCGGGCCTATTTTTGGTGGGCAAGCGCCAGTCTCGCAGGCCAAGCGAGCTTCCCCAAGAAATCAACCTCACCGGATGGTTCTGATTGATGAACCCCTGGCGACTATGAAACGACAGACTTCTCCGACCAGCAGCGAATCGGGGACATTCAGTCCATCGCTCCACCGGCCTTCACGCGCTCGGATATAACATTCCGATCTCTGAGTTATGCAATGCTCCCCCAATGGTCCGAAGTAGTACCCCGATTGAACTGAGGTATCTTGAGGTCTTCGAATTCTGGCCACCTGCAAAAGGGTTCCCTACAACTCGTAGTGAAGAAGTTACACGAAGGACCTTTCAGAGGGATGGTGATGGCTATGATTAACAGGGCTGAACGGCATTCTCTTGCCGGGTATTGTTGGACTTCAAGTTCAACACGAGCGTCTTTCCACGGAATTCTCATAGCCCCACAATGCACGGCAAGCATGGGCCCATGCTCACTCGCTTGACCTCTTTGAGGCCCCGCTATACGGAATTCGGAATATTAACTATTTTCAGTGTACCCCTGATCCCTGCTTTCCGTTTCGTAACGCACTTAAGGAAAAGCAACAGCAACAAGACCTCCAAGGCCAAAAGCTTGCGAAGAAAGGAGTCTATGAACAACGGGACTGACCATTCACAGGCCTCTTTTATCGAGATTGAGAAACAGCCGACAAAAGAAGAAAACCCTTTTTCCACCTCGTCTATGACATGGGAGCGGGTAGAAGCCCCTGTTTATGTTTGTGAAGAAGCAACGTGCCCAACCACCTGGGCTCCTTTCCCTATGTTGCATTATGATCGTCATTAGAGACCTCAGGCTGCAGAGTGCCGGGTTTCTACGCAGGTACAGAGGCAATGCATACAAATACTCTTCATCGCCTGTTCTTTCGTGATATTTTTTTTTCTACTTTTCCTTTCCTCACCAGCGCATTGTCCTTTCGTTTTGGGCTGCTTAATACCTGTTTGTATTTCAGTTATTGCGTACCAATCCTTTCGTTTCTTCCTCTCGACATTCATTTCTTTGACACCCTCGACCGTCGAAGATTATTTGCGCTACGGTATCACTTTCGGGAGATATATATTCTCGACTAAAACCAAAAGTTCAATCGCACCCATTCAACCTTGAAACTAAAGAATAATCGCTTGGAATAAACCTGACGCTCTTTCCCTCGGCCAGGTAGCCAGATTGTTGGGTGGTCTATAATCAGGATGAGAATCCTATCAGCTATATTGCCAGCACTCCTGCTGGTGCCAGTAGCATCTGCTGCGTGAGTACTGACAACCTCTATTAAAATATACCGATAGCTGGATGCTAACACCGATATTGTAGTGTGCTCCCGCGGGGCGTTCTTGTTAGGAGAGATTACGGTGATGATGACCCGTGCGTGATAAATCCTGCAGGTGAAGGATGCCCAGGAAATGGGGAGACGCTTCCCACGCCTGAGCCGTTGACCTGTGGTTATGTGGGTGGTCCGGCTTGCCCTGACCCGACAACTACCTGTCCAAATGGTGAGGCAAGCTGCCCGGCTACCACGGACCCACCAGTTACTACAGACCCGCCAGCCACTACTTGTACAGAAGGCGAGGCAAATTGCCCGGTAACTACAGACCCACCAGTTACCACAGACCCGCCAGCCACTACTTGTACAGAGGGC